CCCAACAAATCCTTCCCCAACCACATAGAAACTGATGCATCCCAAAGGTATTATCCCCCCCCCCCCAATTACATTCTTTTAAAAGTCTTGTTTAGCTTATTGGGTTGTGGGGTTTGTTGGTTTGTTTTCAAATTATTCTAACTTTTCCCCGTAAACTGTTGATAAAAAAAGAATTCCAATTCCCGAAAAAAAGGGGGGGGAGGGGATCTTTCTCGCAAAAGAAGTGGAAATAGAGGTATACTTCGAGCAGACGGGACGCCTTTCCTCTACACCCGGGTCCCGGGGAGCCAAATGGTTGGGAGAAAAGTCCAGCTGAACTTAGCCACGCGCTTCGACCGCAGCATCGCGCGGGAAAAGTGGCGAGTCTTTAACGCGGAAGGAAGCGGCGCTTCCAGAGAAGGAAAAGGAACTGCCTGGGGGGAAAGCCGCTTTCCTCAGGAGGAACTAGTTCCCGAAGGAAAGGAAGAGTCCTCGGTCTGAGGGAACGCGGCGGAGACAGGGAAAGCGGTGGACCTCGAGGAAACTCTGCCCAGTCGAGTTTCCCGCGAACAGACGCGAGTCTTCCTGGAAAGGAGAAGAAAGGCAGGAAGAGAAAGCGACGCGATGTCGGGACAGGCGCCTGCTCACCTTTTGTGGTACGTAAGACTCTCGCTTGCTCTGCTACTCCCGGATCGATCTTGGCTGCTCTCCTCGCCAATGGCTCCGTTCTCCCAGTGTGGGGCTGCGCGCCTCGGCGAGGGTTTTTTATGGCTTCTCCGGCAGGCAGGAGGGGCCTCCGGCGATCGCGCATGGGTGACTTCAGATCCCCCCTCCTCGCCCGCGGTCTCCTTACTCTCTGTTTGCGCCTTGTCCCGCGTTTGGCGTTGGAGGCTGCTCCAGCCTTTGGCGCTGACTTGGGAGGGGGCGCGCAGCTGTCGAGTCAAAGGCGCTTGTCCCCCTGTCCACTCCTGGACAAGTTTAAATCAAACGAAGAAACCGAAAAAAAAAAAAATGTTTCCGCCAAGCAACACTTTTTCGTAAGGCTTCGGCAGATCCACTGCCGTCCAGTGGGGAACTGCTGGAACCGAAACTTTTGATGCAGCACAGGTTTTGAAAGCATCTTTCCACCCGCCTCCCTAAATCCATCTGTCCTGACCTTGTGCTACTCCCCAGATGTGTGGAACTACATTTCCCATCACTCTCAGTCACTGTCACTTTGGGGAGTCCAACACTGTTGGAAGGCCTCAGGGTGAGATGGCTGGGTCCCTATTTTGCCAATGGGAGGGGATACAGTGGGGCAAAGAAACCACTCTGGAATAGATCCAAAATAGTCCGGAGAGAGATCAGGCTCCCACAGGCACTGGCAGCAGCTATGGACTTCAAAGGGAGAGTAAATTTTCTACTGGGGTGCACCAAGAATTTGCATTCTGTCTGGGAGGCAGCATTCCTAGAAGCCTTCACTCTCCTTTTTTTCTTCCAACATTGATCTTGAAATTGAGAACTCAGTCATCCCATAAGCACTGTGATAAATTTCAAATCCAAAAATGGAATTCTGCCAAACTAAAGCTAGAAACAGACAATAAACCCTGTTGGCTGCTGTCTGCTGCCCCAGCAGGAGAGGCTGAGTGACTCTGGAATTCCACCAGTATGCACCGTCATATCCCTAGATTTCACAAGCTACTTTTTTGATGTGAAGATTAACTTCCAGGCTAAAGAGTGAGAACAAATTTAATGAGTAAGTTTCAGAAGTGTTTATGGATAAAACAGCTACTGCCTATGCTGTTTCGTGCATTCATGCACACTATTTTTTTCTAGTTTTATTAGTGTGCATGATCCACTGATACATCAATATAGACATTTCTGTTTCACACATTATAAGGGACATTTTAAGTATCCTGGTGAAATGCAATTATTACATTTACTAAAACTATAACATGTAGTGAGCATTGTAAATTTGCTCATCTTTGCAAGTGAAAGGAAAGGTTGTATGTCTTCTTGTAAACATGTGAGGTAACATGAATATAATAGTTGGAATAGTACACTAGATTTTCTCTTGTTCTACTCATGGCATTTACAGATGGCCAGATATTCTAAGAAGAACCAGATACACGTTTTGGGGGGCTGATGTAAAAATCATCTAATTCTAGCAGATGCTGGACCAAACTAAACATAATAGTAGCAAACTATACTATTTTCTACATGGAGGAAAGATGACTATAGTATGACTAATTATGACTGTAATGTGACAAAAGGAGAACCTTTCATTCTAATAAAAATACCATTTCCACCAGTTGCTATAAACCTGGGAATGGATATTTGGGAATAAACCCCATAGGATTGTGGGATTTAGTTCAAATTATCCATGTATCAACAAGGCTTAAATCATGCATATAGTTAAAGTCCCATTAGTAGACCATCAATGACACTCCAGTTGTTAGAATCCAGTTTTCACCAGCATATAACTGAAGGTGATGTAGTCCAGCAATATATGGATGGGATTTATAGCAGAGTAACTGTGCACAGGACTGTAGTCTCTGATTGACAGCAGCTTGATCTCGACTGATTATGTGCCATCAAAGTCAATGTCGACTCTTAGTGACCGTATGCTGTAGATCACTCTTCTCCAGGATGATTTGTCCTCAACCTAGCCTTCCAATAGTGCACCTATTGCTGCTGCAATTGAGTCCATCCACATTTTGCTGGTGGTCCTCTTCTTCTCTGTCATCCTACCTTTTCCAGCAATTTGGACTTCTCAAGGGAGCTGGGTCTTCAGTCTTCACATAATGTGTCCAAAATATAATTTCCAAAATATGATCATCTGACCCAGGCAGCTTGGTCTAGCTGCATAATTTTGGCAGGAGAGAGGACTGGATTAATCTGGTAGAATATATCAAGGGGTGCATGTGATTAAGGTCATGATGAAATTAGATATGGTAAAAGCAGAAACCATTTAAAATAAAAGTGACATTTTTCTTAAAATTCATCCATAGTTGTTTATATTTATTGTCCTCTCATCCATATTAAACCCCCTACTTGCAATTTTAACTTATGTAACAAAAACCATGAGGAGTGGAGTGGAATATTACTGGTGTGCAAAAAATGTATACAAAATTTTCCCTTCCCTCTCTCATAATATTGGAACTCCAGCATTGGCAAAAAACAGTTCAGGATAGACCCAAGGAAAAAGTATTTTTTTCATACATACTTTTTTTCCATTTTCAAAAACTTAATGGAACATGGTGCCACATTACATCATGATGACCACTGCCTTAGATGGATTAATTTACAGCAAGGAGAAGAAGTCTACCCACAGTCATGATGAGCTACAGTATGCAAATCCTTCATATTATGAAGTACCATATACAACTATCAGTTGTTAAAAGGATAAAATAGTAGAAAAGCCCTATTGCAATGTTCAGCTTCTCCATCTTATCATTCTAAGATTGCCAACTCCAGCAGAAACTAGTCCTGGAGATTTCCTTCTCCCCAGTAAATGTGTACATGTGTCTTGTATATGTGTATATATCTGCCAAAAAAGCACAGGGCCAAAAAAAAAATTACTTCAAAATAGTTGAAGTAATAACTACTGATTAAACTTAATTGCCTATAAAATAAAGTACCCCATTCATAATATTAATTGGTCCCCATCTGCGTATACCAGCCATTCTGTTAAGCATAAAGAAACACACAAACATACATACACTGCCTTTTCTCCTTTCATGAAAAAGAAAACATGAGATGGAGGTGGGATAAGAGGAAGGAGTAAATGCACTGGAAAGGAAAGAGAAAGGAAATTAACCTGTGAAATTCATTACCACAAGATATGGTAATGGCTATTCTCTTGAATAGCTTTAAAAGGGGATTGGATGGATTTGTGAAGGGCGTGCCTATTATAAGCTATTAGTCATGGTCTACTGAGGAGTATCAGCTAGTTGCAGGGGAACATCAATGGCAGGAGAGGGGTGGTCTCCACCTCTTGTTTGCAGGCAACCCAGAGACATCTAGTTGGCTACTGGTGGAAACAAAAAGACTAAAATGGACTCTGGTCTGATCCAGCAGAATTATTTGATCCTATGGAAGGAAAAAGGAGGGACCAAGACAGAATGGAGCTGAGGCAAAGGGAAGAAATAAGTGGGCAGGGAAAGAAAGAGAAAAGAGAGATTAAAATTAAAACATTGCACTGATTTTCAGCAACCTTAATTAGAGAAAGTTTTTTAAGGCCCACATAAAAGGATTTGGAAGATTGTCAAGCCCTGCCTTGGTGGAAGCTGCATATTTTAATTCAGAATATCTATACATTATAGGTATGGCAGATCAATAGTCTTAAAGAAAAACACTTGAAAAGTGGGGCTCTGTACATAGGGAACTTATGTAGAAGGGAGGATTCTGAACTTTGTGGTTCTTTCAGCATGAACATTTCTCCACCCATCTCCTTTTAAGTGATGGGAGCAGATCTTGGCTTAAATGCAAAGATCTGCTACTGCCAGATGAAGTTTAGTTCTAAGATAATAGATTGAAGAGAATGGGTGCCCATTGGTCTCCAGTTACAGAAAGCAGGCTTCTTGTGCCACGGTAGTTTACAGCAACCTTCACCCATTTTGACCCAGAGGTGCCTATCTGTAAATGACCGAATTCCCAGGCACCACGACTACATACCCATGCTGGCTGGGAAATTCTGGGAGTTGAAGTCCACGCATCTTAAAGTTCCCAAGGTTGAGAAACATTGCTATAGAGGTTATCAAGCTGGGGAAGGCTAGGGCACTCTGTTGAAGCCACTGTGATATCTTTGCACCCAGTGAGTTACACCTAGTTATTTTAGAGGGGTTCCTTGGCATTTAGGGTTTGCCATTAACATCTATGGATGGTTTTGTCCATGCTTACCTGACGTGGGGCACCCTAACCTTGCAGCTGGACAAATCTTCCTTGCCACATCTATACTTAGTTCTGCAACTTCCAGCTAAGATGCTTTCATTTTTGCAGAAGAACCACCAGGCTGCCTGACCATTATAGTGAATCTTGAGTAGCTGTCTCAGGGCTTCCAAGACCTTTCATTGTTGTATTTCTGATCAAATGGGGGCAGCAAATTCCAAACACTTAGCACATTATCATGAGCTATAAACCTTTTACGCTTCCAAGCTTTAATTTTTAAAGAAGAATATCTGCACCTACGTACAGTACTGTTTCACTGATTTGTATTTTGATGTGTATTTTGTTATTTAAATAATTAGTTCACTGTATTAGGATTTGCGTTGAAAAGCAAAGTAGAATATTTTAAAAAATATTTGTTTATTACAATTGTAATTATAAAATATCTGATGGAAGAAGTATGCAAGCCAGACTGATGAGGATGGGAGAAATAGAGAAAGATTGATTTTGGCAGAAATACATATTGCATCCCACCAATTCCTTGTTTAATCCTTGTTTATCAGTTTATATCAGTTTAAAGTATTAGATATGGGATTCCTGAAAAAGATTTTGGGGAGCCCATATCAGTCAGCCCTCTGTATCTTCTCAAGCACAAGAACTTAGATTCAACAGTGCCGAAGTAGCGTTGTACACCTTGTGATAAAGTTGAACACAGGAGTTTTTTTTAAAAAAACAAGGCTTTATTCAAATAGAAAAACTGGTCAATATTTTGAAGTGAATGTTGGAACTACAACAAAAATATAAATAGCACTTTTAAAAACAGCACATCTCAAGGCTAATCAATGAATATTAAGGTAAGTTTCAATTTACTCCAAACCATGTTTTCAAAAGTCTGGGCTGAATATTTTTATATCACATTACAGTAGGACAATGTAAGCATTCAAATTCTATCCATACCTCCATCCAAGGGGAAAAAAATAACAAACCATTTAGCAAATGCCAAGTTCTAAAAATGATATTTTACTGGTTAACCAATAGT